CACTCCAGTGGCAGCACTCCGCAGTTATCGAGTCAGAGCTTTGGCGACTTTTAATCACTCTGCGACCCCGCTCTGTAACTTTACGTGGTCTTTACGTGAGTTGCTGTGGCTCCTAAACGCTTAGACTTTGCAATAATAACACTTACAGTTGATCGTGGAATATCTACGAAAGAAGACATTTCACGAACTGACTTGTTGCAACGGTGGCATATTACAGTACCACGTTCAAATTCACTGAGCTCTTTAATAATAAATTACATTTATAAAGCACTTTTCCTGGTGCTCAAAGTGCTTTAGAACGACCCATTATTTCACAAATGTTTGTAAAGGCAGACTGCAGGGCTAGGTGCTTGATTTGATACACCTGTGGCAATGGGACTGAATGAAACACCTGTATTCAATGATTAAGGAGTGTCCCAATACTTTGTGTATATATATATAATTAGTTTGCCCGAATATCACAGAATAAAACGGTAGGCCTACTGTACTAACTTAACTAAAACACATGCACCGGAACGTTTTTTTGTGTGTGATGAAACTAAACAAGAATAAAACACTCAGTTAAGTGCTTTAACATAACAAGGTTTCCTCACCTGAGGAAGAATCGATAGTTCCAATGTTTAGTATCTCTTGAGCATTATCCAGAGCTGCAACTGTGAATGTATACATGATGTTTGGGGACAGAGAGTTGATGGTGCCCATCACTGTGTGTGGACCAAACACGGCATAACCAACGGGGTTGCCTGGGGAGTTCTGGGGGGCGGCGATGACCTTGTATGAGCTGGCTCCGTAGACCCTGGTCCATCTGAGAATCGCGCTCTTCGATGTTGCAGAGAACACGGATACTTCGATATCTGATGAGAGAGCATCTTTTAAGTAGCCTACTTTTTTACACCCTGAGAAATTGATTCATTTACAGATATATATATATACCATCAATATTGTGTGCCCTTTCATTCTCATATGAAAATGATATTACCATCTGCAGTGCAGTGTAGTTATGGTAAAATATAAAATACATACCTTGTGCTGCAGCCTGCAAATGTAGATAAGAAAATAAAAACGGTTATGGCTTTATATGAAATTCAAGTTCCTACTACTTGACTGTAACATTGTATCACTCCTTTTTTAAAACAGGATTTCTGAGCCTGAAATGAAATAATCAAAATGACTATAACACATTTTAGTCCGTTACTTTACCTGTGAGCATATGCTCAGCAAGACAAAAATTGCTGGCCACTTCATATTTTCTTGAAGTAAAATGACTTTTCTCCTCACACTATGCAGCTTCTGTTGGATTCAAATGCTTCTCTCTTCAAGGTTTCCCCTTTTTCTAAACATACTGTGTCTGTGCTGGTCTAAATAGCTGCATTTGGTCCCTCCCACTGAAGCAATTGACCAGTCACAGTGAAGTAGCGTAATGGAGAGGCGAAGTCCCTCCCCTTTCGAAAGCCTCCATGGGACCCCGGAAGCGGAAAATTATACATTGAAGTCAATGGAGAGAGAAAGGTTATCTTTTGATCCCGTTTGAATTGTGCCACGAATGACACATATGATGTTTGTCAATTTAATAGAACATTTTGCAAGTCAAAAAAATAAAAATGTGTCGTAAAACTGTGAAGTTACACATTTGTTTGTGTGAAACCGCTCAGTGAACTACAGGTCTCTGGTCTCGCACAATACGCGTCACCAACATAAAGATGGCCGTCACGTTAGCACATTTCACCACATTCTTTCAGAATGAGAATACAATTATTTTACGAGGTGAAAATCACTACAAGTCTGGGCAAGTTGAGAGCTGTACCTATATGAAAGGGGAGTTAGTCGGTTCTGCAAGAGCCAGCATGCGGGACCGGCTTTACAAGGTTTCGGTGAGTAATATGAGTGCAATGTTTAACGTTAATGTCAGCTAGCTAACATTAGCTAACAAGGTACACTAACGTGTTTTGTTTTAGCAACTAGTTTTCTCCTTAAGAACTTCGTGGTCTCTGTGTATGCTGTGGATAACATTAGTGTTCACAAGAACAAGGTACACTCCCGTGTTTTGTTTTAGTTGCTCTTCAGATTGAAGCGGCCAGTTTTATATCGATTATACTGTATGTGTGATCTCCTTTTTCTCGTTGTGTCATTTGACTTTATTTGCTGTGTGTAGATTCAAGGATTTTGGTTATCTAGGCACAGCTGTGTGTGACTCCCTCTGGTACACTGGTATGTGTTTTCCTAATGTAGAGAGCATTGATTCATTAATAAACTACACACTGAGTCTAGATCCTGACCAAATCCTTTTTTATTGTTGATCAAATGTTTTTCAAAAATGTATTCATACACATTTAGAAAAATACAATGTACAATCACAACCAATACAACACAAATTACAAAAAATACAGAAAAAACAAACAATAACAACAGACAAGAGGACAAAACTATGGAAAAATAAACCCTCCCACCCCCAGATCCGGACCATCCTTGTATTATTGCTCATTCAATCTATTATAGCATGCTAACAAATGGTATTTACTTTATTTTTACAGATCTGCATGGGAGACGATGGCGCGATGCAGAGCGCTGTCTGTGATTGTGCACAGGAGATGTACAAATGCAGCCACGCTGCAGCATTGGCAATATTTGCCATGTGGCAGATCAGCTCCACAGATGTTGAGTGCCAGTGGAGGAAGCCTGGCACTTAAAAAGTAGTCCAGCCGGTGTCTCAACTTTACCAACAGCGAGAGTAGACATACAACCCACTGGCCAGAGACATCGCCAACTGTCAACTTGGGGGTTGTAAACGAAGCCGAAGGGGTGAAGGCTTTTGTGGAGGCCTATCAAGTGACAGTGTTCGAATCGAGTCTGGTCTCTTTGTGAGTGAGTCGGGTGTTTTGGGAGCATCACCCGATGGACTTGTGCAGCCATCTGCCCTGCTGGAGGTGAAGTGTCCACACAGCCAGAGGAACATGACCACGCGGAGGCAGTCCAGTTACCATCCTTCTGTCTCCGTGAGGAGGGTGGGTCATATATTCTCAAGGAGAATCACCCATACTGGCATCAGGTCCAAGGGCAGCTGCATATCACAGACCGGAGTCTCTGCTACTTTGTTGTGTGGACCACGAAGGAGGCGATCATCATCCCCATCCCCAAAGACCCTGCATGGCATGGAAATCTCCTCCTCCTGGAACAATTCTACACCCAGCATATGCTCCCTGTGTTGGCCAGTAGAGAGGAGGACATTTCAATAAACATACTCTTAACACCCTCGGACTCTGCGTTGTGTTTCGTATGTGTGATGGGGTGTTATGCAGAGGGGAGGAAAACAGGACACAGCAGATTGGGATTGTGGTGGAGATGCTGAGCAGTTATTTAATTGTTGCATGTAATTATTATTATACTGCGTGCTTCTGAGTTATTCCATCTTTTGCTGTAACATGGATCTGTATGTAACTCTATATTTACTTGTTATCTAACACACTTCCTTCTACATCATACACCATCATTATACATGATGGTGTATATAGGATATATATATTTGTATACATATCTGTAAATTGTATAATTTTATTTAAACATCTTTTTGATCTCTCAAACTGAGTAAGATTGACAATAAAGTTGACTTTGAAAAATATATATATTCTTTCCAAATGAAACGTTGGATTGAACTACAACTATGCCTTTAAATCTCTACGGACTGTTTTTCAGTGGGATGGCAAGTTCCTATCTTTAAACATTTATTAGTTTTTTCTCAGAACAGATTTGATTTTCTGAAGTTAATTTAACTTTGCCGACCATGTAAGGTCATCATTAAAAGGTACAATCAATTTGTTTATGGTTGACTAAAATAATGAAAAACATTCATTTGGATAATTTACTGACAGAATAAGAAACTCAATGATGCTCTACTCACCTGTTCCCTTTTTATAAAGTGAAACAGTTGAAACGATAGATTTTAGTAAACTTAAAAACAACCTTCTCCAAAAGCTATCAAGGAATATACCGAATACTTGTTTTAGAACTTTATTACATATTTTTATATAAATAGTTTGAATGATCCATAATTGACAGAAGCTTGTGTTTACACTGACCTGTTACTCATATATTAATGTCTTTGTAACTTCAGTAAACCACTACCTCACTCATTTCACTTTCATTCATCACGGTTCAGTAAACTAAGTGATACATGAACCAGTTTAATCATTATAATAACGTAGGATTGCAACTCTTTGAAAATGTAGGTGGCTCTTAAAAGAGCCGTGTGTTTGGGTGTGCTGGTCTCAGGTCAGTCTAAGCCCTCTCTCCGCGGATGCGGCGGGCCAGCTGGATGTCCTTGGGCATGATGGTGACCCTCTTTGCTTGGTTCATCTTACTGGGGGGCAGCTACATGGATGTCGGTGCAGTCCACAATCATTGCGCAGTTGAAGGCAGAATGAATTTATTATTGACTCCGAATGAAGCACAACTTCATGTCATACAATACAATGACTTTATTTGTAATTGTGTAAAAACATATGAGCATTGATTAGCAAGCAGGACCTGCAGGAACAGAGAATGGTGATGGATGGAGCTGGGAAGAGAGAAGAATAAAGAAAACAGATCAACTTTATTATCGGATATTAAAAATTCTATTTCAAAACAAGTTGCCGCTCCTACAGTTTTCTAGTATGTAAAGATGATTTCACATGACCTATGCAAAATATCACACTCAATGCATGTGTGTCTCTGGGGGGTGCATTGTGCCTTTGATGTATATAAATAATATACCATAACCAAATACTATTACGTACAGTGGAAATCAGGTTGCCAGAGCAGGTCAGTGTGCATGTTCCTCAACGTCTCAGCAGTTACAGGTGAGGTAAACAAAATAAAAGAGAAAAAGGGTAACAACACTTTAAAGTAACAACACTTTGAATAATTATCTCTTCTAACAATTTTCTCTCAATAAGCACACAACGACTGTCTTTCCAACAAACCAGTGTGAGAAAAAGTTTTTAGAGAGTACTTGTCCATGGACAAGTGAGTTTGGAAATGTGCTTGTCCGAATACATTTTTCACTTGTCCATATCTATACTTTGTGCATGCATTGCTGCACCTATTTTAAATATGATTACATATCAACATAAAGCACACAAGAATCTAGGTTACTGTAGGAAACATTTTATTGTTTATTTGTTCATATTGTTCACAGTGTCTGGTTTCTGAACTTCTACCATCAAGGCACATCAAATGAATGACAGATATAAAATAATAAGATAAAACAACTAAGTACTAACAATATAATGTTTTCTCCTCTGTGGGACTAGTAGACATGCTAGCAGAAAGGTATGGCTTCAGGCTCAGGGTGGTTGTTCACTGCAGCTGTCTCCCGAACTGTGGGGCAGCACTCCAGTGGTTCTCCTCACACCGAGCTATGGGGCAACAGGCACAGGTAAGTTGCTGTTCACTGCAGCAGGCTTTGGGGCAGCTTTGACATACCTCTTGGTCTTAGCAGATGTTTTCCATTTCTGGATGGCTGGCTCTGGGTCAAACTCTGCCACTGTGGTGGTGATGTGGCTGACCCTCATGAGTGACCCCAGAGTTTCATTGGTCATCTGGGATTTTCTGGATGTTTTTATGAGGTTCATGAGGGAAAATCCACGCTCCACGGCAGCAGAGGAGGGAGAAAGGGTGACCATCATGTACACCAGAACCAGGACGTCCTTCACATCTGGGTGGTTCTCAGTGAGAAGGTCACTTATGACCTCCTTGGCGGGCTGCCTCTGCCTGTACTTCAGTCTGGCCTTGAGAGCTGGCCACTGTCTAGGGATGTTGGTTACCATCTGTTCACTCAGGCCTTTGGCCTCAACTAATATACAGTACTCAGCAACCTGTTCCTGTTTTTGTTTTCTTCAGCCTATGTCTCTTTATTATTACTTTTTGTTTTGTTACTTCCCATTGTAAAGCGTCCTTGGGTTTCGTGAAAGGCGCTATATAAATTGAAATTATTATTATTATTATTATTACCTCCTCCTCACTGAGAACGGACTCGAAGTGGGTCACCATGTTCATAACCTGAACATCACCATATGTAGCTAGTTGTGCGTCTGATCTTGGGACGTTCCTGGGGTCAAGAACATGGAAATCACTGAAAGGGGTATCCTTCAGGAAGGAAAATCTCTTCTCTAGGAACTTCACACAATTCTCCAAGAAGGAATTCTTCACTGTTTCTGGAATACCTGTTCCTTTCAGTGAAGTGATGTGTCCATTGCTCTTACTGTCAAACTTGCCATCCTTGCAGGTTGCCATGTAGGCAGTGTAGACATCACCTCTATTATGCTTAAGGCCTTCCAACTTGATCCTGGCCTCACACAACTTTACATCAACATCATAAATGAACAGATCATTACTCTGGAATGCCAGACTCACGTTGGCCAACACTTCCAAGACATCTACCATAAAGTGGAGCCCATCAACAAACTTTGCAGACTTCAGTACCTTCAAGTACCCCACACACTTAGCTCCTTCGTCTGTTTTTCTGTTTGAAGCCTCTTCCATGTGTAGGATGACGGAGTTGTAATTTTTTATTACAGCCTTGTATGCCCGGAGTCTTGACGCCATCCACCTAGTGCCACAGGGTGCTGAGAAATAGACAGGATCCTCGTCTATAACGGCTGATATGGCGTTCACCTCCCTCCTACGTTTACCAGATCCATAGTAGAATCTGTAGATGGGGTCCACTCCTTTCTCTACGATGTCAATGAAGTCAGTGGCTTTGGTGGCATCTAGGAGCGACAGCTCCAGCTTATGTGGAGCACACCAAATCGAAATGAGCACATGCCCCAACAATTCCCGCAACTTCACAATAACTCCTCCCTTGGCACCTTGGTTAACGCTGGCACCATCAAATGTGCAGCCTATTATTTTCTTCTTTATGTCTCCATCTGTTAGGTCGACATGATGTAGTGCCTCGAGGAGAGCTGCCAGAACACCATTAGCATCAGCTGACTTTACAGCCATGATGTCAATGAACTCTGTCGCTGGAAGTCCATCTTTGACATACCTGAAGATAGAAAATAAATAAAGTACATCAATAAAGTGCAATAACATTTTTTTAAATGATTATCTTATATAAACCTTCCCACACCAGTGTTGCCTTCACCTTTTTTTAAGACTAAGAACACTAAAAAGCAACTTCACCTTCATTCGCTTTAAACAATTTATGTATATACTTTACCTGTTAAAAACTTTTAAGTTAACTGAAAATTTAAACTAATAAAATTCATCAATAAAATGATTGTGAATTAATTACTCATAAACAAAAGGCCCTTTTGGAGATAAAATGTAACTTAAATAAGACTTACAAAAGAATTCAAAAATAATAATTACCTAACATATACATTCTCCTGTTCTGTCACAGATATATCCGTGGATCCATCTCCCATCAGAGCGAAGAATCTTGAAGCCTTGAGGTCTTCAGAAACTCTGTCCTTCTCGACTTCTGCAATGGCCTGCACAAATGCCTTGCACCCCTTATCGTTCCGGTACTGTGTAGGCATTTTAATGCCATTCTTCTCTTGAAGTTCGATGAGGCCCTCAAATGAACGGAAAGGCAACTTTTGTTTGGCGACATAAAACGCAGTGTTGAACATGGGTTTCAGTTGGTCGTCCATATTTTCTGCCTGCTTCTTGAGAGCCACAAACATTGGCCCTGTGCCTTTCTCTGTGACCTCTTTCCTTTGAATGCAGAGAAGGTGATATTTGCTGGATTCGTGTGACTGAAGTGTCTCAATGCGTTTTGACCCTGTGACACCCTCGTACAGTTTACTGCTGTGGTCAGCAATGGATGGATATTCTCTGCAGACCTCACAGAACATGATGTCGTCCACACATCTTACCCATGGAAACTGGGTTTTCCAAGTCTCAATGAATGTTCTTTTCCTCTTGGGTGTCAGGGCGATGTCACTCTTGGCCTTTTTAGATGGACCAGCCATTGGTGAGATAACGGAACATGGCCTTTTAGCAGAGACTTTCTCGTGACTGGGGGGGCCATCGTTCTGCTCACACTCTGGGACTTTCTGAGGGCTCGTTTCAGCATGTTCAGGCTGTTGTTCAGACTCCTGTTCTTGCAGACAAATTATAGATTTTTGTCAACATGAATGTTAGGTACTCGTAGACTCCCCACAAACCTTTCTGCATTTTTTGGGGTTTTTTTCTGAAATAATTTGATATGCCCCTTTCAAGCCCCTTGGTACATAAAGAGCCCCTTTCAATCCCCCCCTTTTAAAAGAAAAAAGTATTTTACATAGGTCTACCCCTTTTTTATTATTATTTTTATTAATTTCTTATTTAATAGTTTTTCATTATTTTTATTTTTATCTTCGATTTTATTTTTGATTTGATGAACCTGTGTGAATCTGTGCTGTCCTGTTTTTCACCCTTACCCTGTTGCCTACTGAATTTCCCCACAGGGATTGTAAATCGCTTTGGATAAAAGTGTCAGCTAAATGCAATGTAATGTAATGGATTAATAAAAGTCCCCTTTCAAGCACTTAATCCACTATTTTCGGACATAATTTATTTCAATTATTTTCCTTGTTAATGTAACACACCATTTTACAACTGTGAGAATGATGTGTACAAACCTTCTTAGAAAAGAAAGAAATCTTTTGTTGCCCTCTTGGGGCCACTAGAACCTTCTTCTTCGCCATCATATTTCATTTTCACACAGTTTTACGACACGACGTAAGTGAGTAAAAAAACGTAAAGCGGTTGCAAACAACAACGGCGGACACGGACAATTTGCGAATGAGTTATGCCTTTTGTAAGCTGAATTTATCAATAATTTGTCAATAAATAGCGGCGAAAAATGTCACTTGTCCATTGGACAAGTCAATTTAAAAATCTACTTGTCCAATGTTGTGAATAACCCGTCCCGGACGGTGGGACGTGCACTTTTTCGCACACTGCAAACAGATTGTCATCACAATGAAACACGTCCAGAAGAATGTCATGCAAAGCTCCCTGCCTGCCTTCGACTCTCCCTGAACTGCTTCCTTAGCACCCGGTGGAGGGCGCAGTAGGCTACTCTTCAAATGTTTCACGAAATACTTACCATCATGTTTGGTTACTGTTTAACATTTTGGTTTACTTCATGTAATAAAATAATAACTTAATGGTAAGGCTACTAAAAATGACAAGGCTAAGTAATGTAATGCTAACTAACGTGCTCGCTACTCGTCGCTACTAGCTAGGTAGCTAACTTGACTATGCACATGAACATGCACAACATGTATATTACCTATGATATTACCTGATATGTCTGATCCAGCGACTCCTGGTCCTTTCATCAGACGGGAATCGATAGAAGGAGCAAGTGGTATGATCACTTTTATGACTACAACCTGGTACAAAGCACACAGGCATCTTGTGAAAGTGAATTTATTTTTAGCGATCTATAATTTATTGGAGGGAATAAATCAGTTATGAGATCTTCTTCTTCTTCGCTTTAATTACGAGTCTTATTATAAATCACCGAGCATGCCTGTGACATCACTTACGCGACCCAGAATGGGATTTGGGATTTGTAGTCTTTGTAGTAGCGTATTTTTCATAGTCTTATATTTCAGCAGTTTTACGACAAAATGTGACTTTTTTGACCTGGAAATGATTGTTTAAGATTGACAAACATCATATGTGTAGTTCGTGGCACAATTCAAACGGGATCAAAAGATATGTGTTCTCTCTCCATTGAATTCAATGTAAATTTTTCGCTTCCGGGGTCCCATGGTCCGGAAGTAGATGGGCGTGACTTCGCCTCTCCATAGAGAGGCGAAGTCCCTCCCCTTCCGGTGGACCTTATTTCGGAAAAATTATGTATTGAATCAATGGCGAGAGAAAGATTATCTTTCGACCCCGTTTGAATTGTGCCACGAATTACACATAGCCTATGATGCTTGTTGTAAAGGAATATTTTGGTCTTGTTAAAGTATATAGAGTTTAGTGATTTGTCCTCGGGAATCTGTTTAATATGGTTGAAGTGTATTCCTGCCTGTAATGTGATCCATAGCTTCTCAGGAAGACACAGGTCAAGAGGTCATCTGATGTCTTGTGGGGGAGAAGCTTGGCTCATGTGGGTTTACAATGCAACGAGTCTTTGTCTCGACATCTGGCATGCATTAAAGGAAAACCCGCGTGTTTTAGGGCCCTCCTCTTCTTGTCTGTATAGTTGGGTGCTTGGCGCTTTTAGGCTTCAGAGTTTGCTGGGATCTTACATGAGAACTGTGATATGCTGTGAACTCTCCGGCCGTTCAGGCTCTCAATAAATATCAGTGTATTGACAGGCGAATCCAGTTTCCCTCATTTGATGATGCGCTCAACATTGCTGCAAAGAAGTTTTTACTTCACAATTGGCGTCACGAACTGTTACCAACAAATCGTCGAGCTGGTGAGTGTAATTTCAAATCTATATTTTGACATTGCCTCGCCAGACTCTGTGATTGACGGTATAAAATTACCTGTGGAACAGATAGATGCAATATTTTTGGTTTCCTCTGTGTGTGTGCACGGCAAATATTCGGAGAGACCTTAAAGAGGGCATCAGTAATGTGGAACTTCGGTTTTAAAAGCAATGTAAAGATTTGTACTGAAACGAATCGCCGAATTCTGGAGATTTCAACGGTTTAACTAGTTAAATCAACTCGCCTCGAAATGTTCCTGTTGCTGCTGCGGGTGCAGGGTGTGGGTAATTCCCCTCCCCCCCCCCCCCTGTGGGGAGCAGCACACACGAGGATAAACAAAGCACAGTGTCGTATCTTCTTAAATCGCACCATTATGAGTTTTGGAACTAAACAGAACTCTTATTAACGGGAAACGTGATACGAAATATTACGTCACGCTGTGTTTCATAAACTGAGGGGTTGTTGAATTTGGCTGTTGTTAAAATAAAGGGTACTGAATTCATTAAAAGTCTCTGCTCTCCGGATCGGGGAGGGCAGAGCACCACTAAATTAGCATAGTGGTTGTTGATTGAGAATAATGTGGTTATTACTCTTCAGCAGATTCCGTTCTTAGAATTAATTAAATTAATTAATATCTCTGCTCTCAGTCGGTTGAGCAGTTTTACCACTACATTTGCATAGTGGTTTTGATTGAGAATAAGGTAGTTTATTGCTCATCAACAGAATTCCCCTCCCCCCTGTGGTGAAGGGCACACGAGGAATGTTTAACAACACAGACTTGTATTTTCTGTTAATCACACCATAAGCTCAAGAAATTGAGCTATTAAATGGGAAGGGTGGTGGCAGAATATTACATTCACACTGTGTTTAATAAACTTACGGATTATTGAATTGGATTTTGTTTTTAAAAAAATAAAAAATAAAAAAAATAAGTAAAAATAAGTACTGATATTTCCCTACCCCCGCTGAAGTTTCCCTAATTCGGATTAAAATTAAACTGGATGAGTTTAGCTGTCACCTGATGTTTGTTGCGGGTTCATGTTTGTTTGTATAATTGTTTTGTGTTTGTTTGTATACCTGCCGTCTTGTGCATGCTTTGTAACAACTAATAATTAATCAGTCCACTCCACAGCCAAGGTAAAATGAATCTAAATTTACGCAAAAGGAAAATAAATAGCAAAAAAAAAAAGCCTCTGTTTTACACCCGGGAACCTCAGAGGCATAACTGCGGGTCATCTGTCTGCTCAAATGGATCAATGTTGTATTATTTGTTTCATTTATTCTTAATCTATGTATTGTATGGTAATAATGAAAATAAAAAAACCTAATGTATTGAACACGTTCCGAGGCAGGGCAGATGGGACAAGGCTCAGACATAGTGGTGATTGGACCTTTTTGCACGATTGATGCAGGATGAAAACGTTGTCATTGTCTGTTTCCAACTGGCCACTGGAATCAGATAATGGATATAAGTTGAAGTTCAATTACAGTTTTAAATATAGTTCAACATTCTTTATTTAACTGTTTCAAATTATTTCTAGTCAAAATCCCCTCCTTTTCTCTACTCTGCTTGGTGCTGCAGAAGAAGAAAATAAAATAAAACGCAAGACACGGGGTCAGAGACAGGCGTGACCTCTGGAAGGAGAAGATAATTTGAAGCAGACCACAGCGCTGTGCGTTGGGGGTTTTTATGAGCTTGAGCACAAAGGAACATCTCATTCAGCAGTCAGTTTTTATTGGCAGAACTTTTGAGCACTTTGAAAATCTATTTTCATGCCTCTGTGCAAGGCTTAGTCTTTCTATCTGTATAGCCACTGGTGTAAAGTAACTAAGTTCATAGACTCAACAAGTACTATACTTGGGCACAATTTTGAGATACTGGTACTTTATTTGAGTATCTAAAATGTTTTGCTGCTTTATTTTTCTACTCCACTACAGTTCAGAGGTAAATTGTGTACTTTTCCTCCACTACATGTATTTAATACCTTTAGTTACTTCACAGATGTGGATGAATGATGTGAAATCTAATCAAGTGTTGAATCAGACTTTAGTTCCACCTGGAGTAAATCCACCAGCTACCCTGCAGTATACAAAGTCATTCAAACTAGCTGCACCTTCACCAGCTTTGAGAACACTTTCATGATCAATCATTATAAAACATATCATATATATTATTCTGACATGAACCAATCTGCACAGTGACTACTTTTACTGTCGCTATTTTCACTATATTTTGATGACAATACTTTTATACTTTTACTTGAGTAAACATTTTGAATGCAGTACTTTTACTGTAACATAGTATTCCTACACTCTGGTACTTCTACGTTTACTCAAGAACAAGATCTGAGTACCTAAGCTAACGTTAGCCAGAAACATTTTCAGTTCGCTTCAAGCTCTGCCGCTCCGACAGGGAGCTCTGCTCTGAACACCCCGTTCTAACAGCTGTTCTCCAGCGGTCCAGTCTGTGCCACAGTCACTCCGGACCACACAGCTAATATTAACGAACACATCCGTAGGCAGTAATGTACATGAGCGCGTTCATATTTTGGGCGAACGTGAACTGAACGTACTGTATTTCCGCTAGATGAACGTAATTGAGAACGCGTTCATTCTCAGCGCTGTACATAACGGCGTTCAAGAGTGCGTTCATTCTCAGCACTGTATTATAACGGCGTGGTGTTGTTGCAGGAAGTCCCGACGGGGAATACTTTTGCGGTAGTACATCTCTATATACATCGATACAACATTACGTGTTGATAGAAATCATCACATAATGAAATAAGACCCCACGGTTTGATGATTGACAGGTGTGTGGGCTATCTTCCATTTTGACACACAGAACAAAGGGGGGCGATCCACCCGTATCCAAAAATGTAAAGTAATTCAAACAGACTCGTCTCTCTGTGAGGAGCAGCAGGTTCAGCTTCATTTAAATATGTCGTGCAGTAATAGATGGATTTATTTTTTCATCTCAAGAGAGAATGTGTATTTTATGTTAATATTTCAAAAATCTCCTGGGGGAGAATCCCCCCAGACCCCCTGCGGGGGTTGAGTTTTCAGCATGTCAACTCTTTCACTTGTGAGGAAATGGCAGGATTGGCTCCAGGTCGCCTTTTTATTTACTACAAGACAAATGTTTTATTTTATTTTAATTTCATACAGTTCAATTAGGATTGAGACAGGGAAATATTCTAAACCTCACGCGTGGCGTTTCACTGACAAGGGGGCGATATAGCGT